AAAATCATTGGCATAATTAATGGCGTGGTAGATGGTGGGAAGTCTATGAAAATTATTACATATATACTAATTTATATAACACTGGATGGTGGTGAGGTCATCCATACTTGGCTGAAAACTTGACTGAAAGTTGTGACCATTGTATACAATCCAACATTGACCAACAAATCAATCACAAAATCAGTGGCATGATTGATCCAACTTTGAATAACAAATCAATCACAAAGTCAGTGGCGTGATTAATCCATTGACCAACAAATCAATCACAAAATCAGTGGCACGATTAATCTAACATTGACCAACAAATTAATCAAAAATCAATGGCATTAACTATCAGTTGTTTCCAAGCAATTAAACTAAAACAAAACATAAATTAAACTAAAACTACTTAAACTAAAAGAATTTTTTAGGCTTAATTCAATTTTTAGTCTATTACCTATCACTTTGATTTCATTTTAGTTTAAAAACTATGTTTTATTTCTAAGTGGTCTATTAACTTTCAGATTCATTTCAATTTCGTCTGCTTGGTCAAAGATAATGGAAAACTTCCTATTCTGTTAGAGAACAGTTAGTCCTCTAACTATATATTTTTTATCTTTTAGTCCTCAAATTTATATTTGTTATAAAAATAGCTTTTGTACTTAAAATTATTATTTTTAGGCTCTGATACCAGATTTTTATACTTAAAATTATTATTTCTAAGTGGTCTATTAACTTTCAGGCTCTGATACCAAATTAAAGAAATAGGAAAACCTGTATAAAAATCTAGTATCAGAGCCTATAAATAATAATTTTAAGTAAAAAAGTTATTTTTATAACAAATATAAATTTAAGGACTAAAAGATCAAAAAAATATAGTCAGAGGACTAACTGTTCTCTAACAGAATAGGAAGTTTTTCGTTATCTTTGACCAAGTAGATGAAATTGAAATGAATCTGAAAGTTATATCACTTAGAAATAAAACATAGTTTCTAAACTAAAATGAAATCAAGGTGATAGTTAATAGACTAAAAATTAAATTAAGTTGAATTTTTTAAGTAAACGAAATTATGAATGGGAAGGAATTTAGATTTCATTTAATTCTGAATTATGCAACTGTTTAATTAATCTAATTTAAGTTTAAATAACAGTGTTATACCATGAGATGTAAATTTCCCTCAATTAATTAACTACTTTTCTCAAGTCAAGTTAATCCTTCACTTGCTTGTTAAATTAATCATATCTCTATAGAATTTAAAATAAACTAGTGACAATTAAATTTTATGAAAAGCTCTAGCTTAGGAAAGGGGAGCTCCTAACTCTCTTCTCTTCCTCACTATCACATGTGAGCTAATTACCTCTCGGTTTCATAGTCTAACAAATTATTTATATTATTATTGGTCTAATTTACGCAATTCTTTCTTAAGTTCATGCATAAATCACTAAATCAATTAAAATGTGATCAGGCTTTCAATGCATTAAACTCAATAACATAAACTTATCATGTAAATAACTAATAAATCCCATTTCTATTCCAATTAGGGTTTTTAAAATCCTATAAATATCCATCCAAATTCAGAATTGAGAGAGCTTTGGGAGGCCAGCGGCAATCCTCTTTTAGGCATTTATTGGAGATCAAGATAGAGATTTCATCAACAATGGAAACTTGTTAGCAAGACATCCCTTTCCCCCCCAGTCATCCCACTAGAAACTAACGCTATTCCCCTCACTTATGTTAATTCTAAAACCCTCCCTCAACCAGCCTACACTCTCCCCATCCATAGTGTTCAAACCGCAGACATCCCTCCACCATATGGACCATGCACCATTATTTCCATTAATCCAATCTTGCAAGTGTCCCTATCCCTTTCCATACTTCTCAACAAGAATTTTCTTCCACAAGCTATCCCTATTTTCTACAAGCC